AACAGAAATCAGATGGACTTCTTCCCAGTTTCTATGTGACCTTAATGACTGAATTTTTACCCAAAGGTCTTTTCTTTAGTTTTCACCTTTAATGAAATTTTTATACCACATATAGTAAAGTCATCTTTATAATATACCATGGCTTAGAAACTTAACCCACACTGTTTCCAAGGGCCCACTGACCTCAGGGGGCATAAGCTGCAATGGGAGGGGGAGGCAAGCTGTCCATCAAGCTTAGCTTAGTGCGTGTTGGCTAATGCCAAATGTGACCTTTGAAAACTTGATTAAAATGTAAGCTAATGAGATACAGGCTTGTCTACGGCCACAGATGCTTTTCTCTTTACTGAAAGAAATGTATGGATCCAGTCATCTATTTCATTCAATTCATCATCAGTCTTCTGTGCAGTCCCACATAGAGAGTGTGCATGAGCAGACCTGCCATTGGATAGGTCTTTACAGCTAAAAGCCTCCAGGTGGTGCTGTGTGCTGGAGCCAGAAGCTTGTTCCCACCCAGGGACCACATTCTCCTGCATAACAGTACCACCCTACCCTCAGTTCTTCTTTTGCTGCCTCCAGCCATTGTCAAGAGAATTTCGTCCAGATTTGAAGCTACGTTGGCTTCTGAGTCCCTTCCATGGCTCAGAAGGCCCTTTACAAGAAGTGCTCCCAATGTGGGCATAGTGTCTCCACATGTAAGACCTGCCAATGTTTTACTCCTAGAACTTGGGGGGGATAGGGTGTCAAAACATAAGGCAGTGTTGTGGGAGAGAGCCCTCGTCCAAGTAGGCCCCGGAAAAAGCTCCCATTCCACATCTTCAGAATCAGCGCGTTCGGCTCCACCTCACAGATCCATGTCTCAGCAGATCTGATCTCGAATGTGCTCTCCTCAGGCTCATCATGTCTCTTCTGAGCCTCCAGCTAAAAAGGCTAAAGGCAAGACAAAGGAAAAGCATAAATCAGCTCTCCGGCAGAACACTCTTATCTGCACTCTTGAGCCAATGCCAACCTTGCAGGAAAAGCCCAAGACTCCATCTCTGGGTCTGAGATCTCCACCTGTTTCTATCTCTGATGGGGACGGGGATACTGGCTTACCACATGGCCAGGTTCCATGTGAGTTTGATCCAGAGCAAATGGCCATGGTTCTGTGGTCTCAGCCCCAACCACCTATGCAGTGGTCTTCACATCCCTATATGTCTCTGGGATATAAGGAAGAATGGGGTGACAACTTCTCAAGCCCCAGGGATGTGAGTTTGTATCGTTACCCTCATCAGTTGTCATCATATTTGCCTTCAGCGACCATCAAGCACAGGCCATGTTCTCCTTTTCCTGCACTGAGAGAAGAAGAAACAGTGATGGAATCCAATGGATCCAACAGAACATCAGACCTGAGCCAAGACAAGCGGGTAGGCGAGCCGTCTCTGGCATCTCCCACAGAGGATCTCCGAATGTTTGGAGAACAGATGATTTAGTCCCTGTTATTGTTTACCTCCGTATTCGGGGTTGCCATATATTCCCTTACTTAAATGATTAATTACTGCTGGAGGATTCCAAGGACCAATTGTTCAGTCATTACTTTCTTGTCCTGGAGACCTGTCAAGGACTAGGACTTCTGGTAAATTGGGATAAATCATGATTAGTTCTATCTCAGCTATGCTAGATTCCTAGTGGGGAAGGGTTTTCAACCTCCCCAAAGTGTACAGGCTGTCTTTGCCTTGATGAGACGGTTCAGATCTCACTGGTTCCAATTGGTTCAGAAAATTCTGCGCCTTTTGGGATATATGGCTTCTACCACTGCATATTTGACCCCTGCAGCTCTGGTTTCTATGTTATAGAAGGTCCAAGCCTTATGACACAGATTTTCTATTCCCAGACCTGTCATACATTCTTTATTGTGGTAGTCTTCTATAGATAATTTATCCCAGGGAATTTCCTTCAGAGTTTCTGATCATGAGGTAGTCCTTACTATGGACATTTTGCTCTTGGGTTGGGGTGCCCACTGTGAAGGATTGTCAGCTTGGGGTACTTGTTAGAAGCTGCGAAGCTGCTGCACATTAATATTTTAGAACTGCGAGCAGTTTGTTATGCCTTTAGTTGTTTCTCAGATATCCTTTGGAACTGATCCATTCTTGTCCAGATGGGTAATGCAGGTGATGTTTTATTTAAACAAGCAAGGGGGTTCAGGGTACAGTAATCTGTGTCAGGAATCTACCCTTGCATAGGACACAGCAGTGAATCTCAATGCTTCCATTCAAGCTATCCACATTCCTTGGAATTTAAACACGGAAGCCAACTGATTGAGCATTATCAAAAACTAGACAGGCTTTGGTGTAATTACAATAGGAAAAATAGGGAACACCAAAGAACATAAGCAAAGCCAGTAAATGATAATATGAGTACAATACAAAACATTTGCTTATGTTCATGAAATGTACTTCATATATAATGAATGAATGCTAGTTAATACAGGAAATTTGTTATAATAATACAACTAAGTGTGTTAAAGATATAGAAGAGTAAAAAATATAGAAGAGCCAGTTTGCTGTACGAAGTGTGCGAACTCTAATCTGGGAGAACCGGGTTTGATTCCCCACTCCTCCACTTGCACCTGGCTGGATGACCTTGGGCAATCCGTAGTTCTGATAAGAGCTGTTCTTGAAAAAGAGCAGTTTCTGACAAGAGCTCTCTCAGCCTCACCTACTTACAGGGTGTCTGTTGTGGGGAGGGGAAGGGAAAGGAGTTTGTAAGCCGCTCTGAGACACCTTTGGGTAGTGAAGAGCGGGGTATAAATCCAATTTCCTCCTCCTCCTGTGTGCCCTATTTTTCCAACTGATTGAGCAGGGCTGGCACACTCTCCCAAGAGTGATCTATGAAGACCACTTACCTGGAACCGCTTTTTACCCTCTGGGGAGTTATGGATGTCAACCTTTTAGCAATGTGAGAAAACAAGATGGCTGTAAGTTTCCGTTCCTGAGCAGGAGTAGGAATTGGTTCTGTAGGGGATGCGTTTCAGCTGTGTTGGCAGTGAGCCCTGTTCTGCACATTCCCTCAGTTCCCGCTTCTTATCAGGGTAATAGAGAAAGCCAGGAGGGAGAGATCAAACGTGATCCTGGTAGCACCTTCTGTCCTCGTCAAATATGGTTTCTGATCCTTATGGATATCTCCCGGGGCCAGTACCTTCCCCTACCAAATCGACCAGATTTAATCAGCATCAACCAGGTACTTCATAATCTGAATCGCCTCAACCTGATGGCTTGGAGGCTTCAGACAAAGAGGTAGTTTTTTCTAAGGAGGTTAATGACTTTCTGCTGCAGTCACACAAGCCTAACACTAGGAAATCCTATATGTATTAGTGAACCTATCTACCCAAGTTTTATAGCCATACCCTATTCTGGTGCCTCCACATTGTATTTCAAACTTCCAGTTATACCATACATAAAAGTATAAAGGTAAAGGTTTCCCTTGCTTGAAAGCTAGTTGAACCCGACTCTATGGGGTGGTGCTCATCTCCGTTTCCAGGCCAAAGATCCAGCGCCATCCGAAGACTTCTCTGTGGTCATATGGCCGGCATGACTAAACGCTGATGTGCACGGAATGCTGTTACCTTCCCACTGAAGCGGTACCTATTTATCTACTTGCAATTTCTTGCTTTCAAACTGCTAGGCTGGCAGGAGCTGGGGCCAGAGACTGGAGCTCACTGCCACGCATCACTAGGGTCTCGAACCTTCTGGTCTGTATTACTGGCTACAGGCCTGCTTTCTCAGAAGTAAGAATCATTAAATCGAGTAGTTTCTAGGTATTGGCTGGTGTCTCACTAGAATTTTTACTGCCTACTATTTATGCAGTATTTTTACGGTATTAGGTTAGAAAATGATCACCAGATTATCTGCTGGCCATCCTTTTGCACCACGGTTTCTTCTTTTCTATGTCTTTCATTCCTAGCAAAATGCAGTTTTAATCCAGGGTCCCACAACCTTCTGAGTAATGGAAAATATCCCAGTGTACCCTGACCAGTATTCCCCCTAAGCTGAGTGTGAGCTAGCTCACAGTTTTTTAGCCTCTGGCTCACACATTTTTGTCTTAACTCAGGAAGGATAGCTCCAGAGCAAACTAATTAATGCAGTAGCTGAATCACTCACTCACAACTTTAATGCCAGTAGCTCGCAAAGTAGAAATTTTGCTCACAAGACTCCACAGCTTAGAGGGAACATTGACCCTGACATGTTTAAATCTGTGTCCTAGATTCAGAACCTGGACTAGGAAGGGCACCAGAAATGACACAATCAGCTAAACTGCAGAGACGGATATCCAATTAAATGTAAATTTGTGTGCTGATTCTTCAGACTTGCTTGAGGCAAGTACCACTAAATAAAAACAATCAGAACAGTAAAGTCAGTTAAAAAACCACCATCAAACAGCCACATCAGTAGAATAACTAAAAAGTCCAATAAAAGCAATACAAGCCAATTAAAGGAGCCAAGTTATAAAAGCACATAAATCAAGAAACTGTGTAAAATTATATTAATAAAACAGCTCAGGCTAAAAAAGAAACCTCTTAATTAAACTCCTGGGTAAGGTTTTAACCTGGCACCTAAAAGAAAGGTAGGTGAGTCACAAGGAGGGCAGCATTTCAAAGGTCAGATTGTGCCATCCCTGAGAAAGCCTCTGGTGTGTCTGCAGGCCAGGGTATACTTCTTTAAGCCTAGTGCAGATCTTTTCCTGGGGGTACACAAGCTACAGGCAGCTCATTAGCTACCTGTTAGAGACCTCTGTCTTAAACTCTATATAGTAATTTACTTACATTGGTGATTTAATTACAGATTGGTATATCTCAGTTTTTTAGGCGTGTTCCTCATACAAAATTCATCTTTGCCGAAATGGTTTAATATCTAAAATAATACCCACAGTGGCTGGGGAAGGAAGGGAAGAAAGTAAAAAAAATAAAGAATTGTGAATCTGTGAGTGGTTGATTGCTTAACTGCAACATTTAGATCAGGAACTCTCTATCTGAATACAATTGTTTGGTAATTGTTTTGTCTTAGAAATGCCATAATTTTTCTCAGAGCTCTTCGGTTTTCCTCTTTCAGTATGGTTGCATGGTTATCTATAAAAATGTATTTTTGCTGTACAGACTCCATGAGTTTTTGTAGTGTATCTGAGGCAGAGTGCAAGTATTCTTCTGTGTTGAACTTGGCCTTTTCAACCCGATCTGCATGAGTAAATAAGATAGCAGTATAATCCTTCCATTTAGGACCCAGCAGTTCCTGGGGAGGGAAATACACAAAAATCTTTAATACCTGTTGTCATATATGTAACATTTTCTTCAACAAATGAACAACCTCTACAGTTTTCAGCTATGTTCATAGCAGAAATATAAGCCATAAAAACAATCCTGCCTGTTTACAAGATGAAACTGCAGTGGTATGTTGATGCAGGTAACTGTTTAATAACAAGGGGAAAGAAAGGAACCACATATAACAAAGTAGGTTTCATAGGAAAAAGAAGATGAAGCCATAACAAAACAGGGACATGGTTAGTATGTGCTGAAGTTTGTGGAAAGTCACCAGTTATGTTGCAGTTAAGTTATAATTACTCAGAAGTAATAAAAGGTAGACATAGAAGTTACAGTGTATTTGAAATTCAGCAGTTACTTTGAAGGTTACAGTATGAACATCTCAACAAGTGCCTTGTTTATACTTGTTCTACAAGCATATCCCAGTGTTAGAATTTTCATTCACAGGAGTATTTTCTTTCACGTCACTCTTACTGCTAAATTACAAAGCAGGAAGAATCCTTGGAATAAAGAATATACTAACTTGACCTGGAATTCTTGGCATAGTCCATGTGGTGTGATCACATATACAAATTCTTCCCTTGCTACTGCTCATTAGAATTATAACATGAAAAGACCCATGGAATGAAAATCATAGTGTTGTAGGATGGGGCGTTGAGGGGAGAGATAAAGGAAAGCTAATTGAATAAAGTCCATTAGGATATATGGCATCTAAATCCTAACCAGGGAGACTGTTTTGTCCCACTCCAGCAGGTTCCCAAATGGCTTATTCCCATAATAAACACAATCTAATGTTGGTGGGAAATGATTTCATCACTGAGCCTACCACCACACCTGACACAAAGGTAAAAGGATGGCAGGGCTAATAGACATGACTTGGACAACTGTCCAGCCAAACCTCATTCCATAGATAACTTCCATTATCTAAAACAAATTGGGTGTCTTGTTGTCGTGTTTGACTTAGTAGTGGAAAGAGGCAGAAAAGTAACTTTTTTCATTAAAAGTAGTAAAAAATAGTTACATCGTTGAGGACTGCTTCCCAATGTCATTGTTCTTCCCACACATTTTTACACTAACTCTGGAACTGTTGGCTATCTGGCTGCAGACCAGTGTCCATCTCAAGGGAACAGGTGGACTCATGGAAGGTATTCCTTGGTTTAATGAGGGTAGGGCCCTCCTATTCTAAATGCAGAGATTGCAGAATTGGCTGAGGAGGAAGGGAAGCTCCAACTAATAGCTGCTCAAGATGTGGGTGCCAGTGCAATGACAACCCCCCAAGCCGTTTTTGCATTTCAAGGATGAGTGGAATAGGAAGCTTGAAACCCTCACATTACCAGAATAAATATAACTAATGTAAACCACTTATAGATATATTTTCTGATTTCATATGCTGTACATAATAAGGAAAAACAAGCAATTAATCAAGAACTCGCCCTTGAGGGACAGTCATGGTGAGATATGAAGCTTCTGGATGATACACTTCCCTAGGACAATATTGGCTTTCTTACACCATTTGTTTTGTGGTTAATGAAATCATAGCATCTGAACTAACAGGGAAATGAATGGCTAGACAACTATTCAATCAACTTAGAGCCATGGTTATAATTCTTGAAAAGAACTAGTAGGCATTGTTTCTCCCCTACTTTATCTTCCTAGTTTTTCCCCCCTTAACATTCCTCTCAAAGTGGAGAATAGACTCTACATTCAGATATATGAAGTACGCTTTTATGTAGCTGGAATCAACCCAGCATGGGGATGTCCTATTGTATCATAATGTGTGTTCAGAGAACATAGAGCAAGAAGATGGATAGGCAATAAAAGTTTGTTCCAGGTCTATGACTTCATTTATACTCCTCCTTTCTCCCCAATGGGGATCCAAAGAGGCTTATGTAGTTTTTCTTTCCTCCATTTTATCCTCACAACAACCTTGTGATACCTGAGTGTGTGTGACTGGCCCAAGGTCATCCTGGAGCTTTCATCATAGAGTGGGGAGCTGAACCTAGTTCCTAGTCTGACACCCTTGCCGCCACACACTTTAAGATGTATGTATCACCTATTAGTAATAGTGTTTGCTATTATATCCCATGGTTTGGAAAGTAATCATGTGCTAATACTTGGTACCTTAAGAACATGGTCACTATATATTATTATGGTTAAATAAAAGAGATACCAGTATTTTATTTATTTAGAAAATATATATGCTGCCTCTCTACAGAACTTGCTCAGTACTGAAATTAGCTTATTTGGCTTGTAATTATCATTACTGTTCTTTTGGTAGCCACCCCATTATACTGATAAACACTATAATTAAAAAAAAAAATCTTTTCCATGTATCATACGAAAAAGTGCACATCCACCATTAAGTGTTTAAGCCTGGATTAAGCAAAAGGTAGGCCTTCTAATAATCTACCATTAGATCACCGGCCAGTTGCAGGTGGACCACTTAGTGCCTTCTGCTTGCTGGAATTCCAGGTGCAAATCCCCACTCTGCCATGGAAGCTTACTGTGTGACTTCTGGCTAGTCTTAGCCTAATCTACGTCACAGGGCTGTCGTGAGGATAAAATGGAGGTGAAGAGAGCAATGCTGCAAGCTGCTTTGGGCTTCCTCCCCCTCTGGGGAAAAAGCTGGAATATAAATTCAGTGAATAAATAAAAGAGTGCTGGCCTAGGATGACCGTGGACTGATCCAGCGAAGTAGTTCTCATGTTCTTGAACAAAATGCAGTCCTAAATGAACACTTTTGTTGTTGTTCAGTCGCACAGTCTAGTTCGACTCTTTGCGACCTCATGGACCAGATCACGCCAGGCCCTCCTGTCTTCCGCCGTCCTCTGAAGTTTGCTCAGTTTCATGTTCGTTGCATCTATGACACTGTCTAACCATCTCATCCTTTGCCGTCCCTGTCTTCTTTGACACTACTGTTTTGTAAACAAAAACCAAAACCTGTTGCCCCTTGGAACATTTGGTTAGATGCTACTTCACTCCCAAGTTTAACACATTAATAATTTGGCTAGTTTTGATTTTTTTTTTTTAAACCAGATTTTAACCTGCAAACTCTCATTGTCATTTGCTTGTCATGGTGTTTGAGTGTAGAGAATTTAGGAATGCACATATATACAAATATGGCTTTTTCAGGTAACCAATACCATTTCATATGTTACTTGCTGGTCCAAGCTTCCAGTTCAGAAAGCAACAGGCTTGTCAATGTGTAGGATGGCTGTTTACCTGGACTAACTGGGTTGTATGGTCATATTCCTCTTCACAAAGTGGGACGTCAGCTCTGAGGACCAAAAGTGCCAGATGCAGGCCTTTCTCTCCGAAGCACTGAGCTAGAGCACTTTTCACCTCTTGACACACCTGCTCTTTGCTCAAGCTACTGTGAGGATATCCAGGAGTGTCCAGTACCTGCACCTGCAGTGTTAGTTGACTACCACTCCGGCGTGCAAGACCCGAAATGTGACAGCTGCGGCCTAGACTGCAAGATGTGGTCACCGAACGCAGAGACAGGCAACTGGCAAAGTCGATGCTGCCTAAAAGAGTGTTTCCTGAGGCACTTTTCCCACTCTGTGTTCTTCCAATCAAGAGAAGATTGAGGGTCATCATGCTATCATTGGACATGGTGCTTTCTCCTACAATATGTGAAAAATAAATGTTAATGTTTGGAAAGGTCATGTCATGCAATACTGTCATAAGTATAGGGCTAGGGCTGAAACTGGAAAGGAATTCCTAATTTAGCTCCCTTTTTCACTTTGAGGAATGCAGTTGTTACGTATTCCTGTTGGAATAACTTGTTCCATTTTTCAGTCTGCCCAACCCTTAATAGATACGTGCAATGTTTTGCTATAAAAAAAGAATGCTAGATAAAGGCTGTAGGCTACAAGCAATCTAAGCTACTGTGAATAAAGCTGCTTTACTGTGGACAATAGGCAAAACTCCCAAGTATACCCAGATGCATAAGGCAATGGTGTAGGAGGAAAAACAAAGTAAACCAAAAAGCTCTAGATGATCACTGTTGAAACCAAAATTAGGGCTGGCAACTTTTCTGAACATGAAAAATGGAGCAAGTAAAAGGTTACTGGTGATAAAATGAAGGAAACATTTGGTACTGACAGACTTAATACATCATCCTTAGAAGGTCATAACTCTGCTTAGAATCATACCATACAACTAGCAAGTACAACTTTAAGTAAGGTAGGACTGGCTGTGAAAAATATTTAACTGTTAATCATCACTAATTATAATAATGGAGGCTAAAAATAAGTTGGCTGAGTAGTTTGGGACCTAGCACAATACGCAACATGGTAATGCAATCATCTCAACTTTTGCTGGTGTATCAGTCTGAATGCTAAGTGATTCCTGTAGCTGCATAAAGGAAGAGAGTGATGAGAGATTGCTATATTTCGAAGATAGCAAATGATCTAATGAGAAAGTTCAGTCATAAGCATAACTGGACTCTGATTATACACAGCTATTTATGTACAAAATAAGCATGCCTATATCATATATATACATTTTAAGTATGCCATAAGTAAGCATAAGACAGTGCTATGGAGGGCAAGAGCCTGTTCACTTACTGTATTGTATTCTCAATGCCTTTGTCCTGTCATGTATTTTCACAGCTTGTATGTGTCAGGTTCTTGTTTGGATACTGCTACCGTACCACAATGCGACTGATACATATTCTTTGCTCCAGTTAATCAGTTACAGAGTTAACAACATTTATCGCTGATGATCATACTCCAATAATCTGCTGTTGTTCTTAACTTCCTTCTGGTTGCCTTAATGAGCTTGTGGTTTTGAATTTACCTTTGTATCTCATTTTAAAGATGATCATGGAAATATTTCTAAATTAGGGTTGCCAGGATCCAGCTTGGGCCTGAAGATCCCTTCCTGAATTACAACTAATTTCCAGTCTACAGAGATCAGTTCCCCTGGAGAAAATGCCTGCTTTGGAGAGCAGACTTTACGGTATTACACCCTGCTGAAGTTCCTTCTGTCTCCAGACCCTGCCCTTCTCAGACTCCACTTCTAAATCTCCAGGGATTTCCCAACTTGGAGGTTGAAACCCTGTTCTAAATACTTCATTGTTTGAAAACTATTATCTTGAGTATGGATAGGAGTGTATATGGGGCTTGTTTTCGCCTTTCTTTCCCTCTTCTGCTATTAGACCGCTAATGTATAAGTCCCTAAGTACCAGGAACATGCAGTGTCAAAATCTCATATTTTTTCTGTGTAAAATAAGTTAGTAGTCAATATTGAAGGACTCTGATCCACCATCCCAACGTTATGTTAGAGAATCCAAGATCAGTGTGATGGTGAAATCACAAAAGCCAAGCAACACTACCATCCTTGTACCTGTATCACTGAGCACAACCTCTGAAGTTTTTCTCTTGCATAAATGGTGCCTGTCTCTAATTCCTATGGATAAAAGCAAAAATAAAGCATATGCCTTCTTCCCACTAACAGTGAGTGCCCTATCCATAAGTGACAAGGAAACTGTGGGCTGTGCACCCCCTTTTCCCACTCTTTACCCTCACAAACACGCATGTCATAATGACGAGTATTAATACCAGTGAAATGCCTGAATTTTTGGTTGTATTCCTGAGAACCTTCTGCAAAGCTAAGATATTGTTCTATGAGGTTATCATACCAGGTGCATGGTGTTAGCATCTGTCTTGGTTATAAATAGCTTAGAAGTGACCTGTTAGAGAACTTTATTGGGAAGAATAGCTGCTCAAAGCTAATGTTATGCAGTAGTATATATAATATGAACTATCAGTGAAGCTTTGGATACCTTTGGTTATCTCTTGTGGAAGATAGACACTCAAGCTGCTCACATTACTGGCTGGCTATGCCTGATGAAATGAAGTTAAAGCAGGCATTGTGGAATTGCACATTAAACTTTACTTCTCCTACTCAGAACAATGGCAGTTCTCCACAATGAGGATCGTAATGTGGAAGATGCTGGGAGACATCTGGAAGATCTTATGGCCGCATGAGTAGAGAGATTTAAGAAACGTTTCTTCCTGTGGGGATATGACAGGCAAAACATGAAATTGATTTATGTGACAACACTCAAGACTCCTTCAGCTACAGGGAAAGTGTCTTCCCCAAGGTGGCAGCATATGCCTGTTTCTCAGGTACTGATGCAACTTTCCAGGAATTTCTTTTGTCTACATATCACCCATTCCTATTAAATTCTGAAGTATTAAGGGTTCTATCACAAAGTGGATGTTAGCCGCTTTGGGCCCCCATTGGGTTGAAAGGCGGGAGATAAATAAAGTAAGTAAGTAATGTGCTTTAGCTCATAGGCTATATACCTTAGCTTCACATATAGGCTGTCATTTTTTTAAAAAAGCTCTTTAACCTAACAAATTTTTGCATATAGAATGATGGAAGAAAATGATGTAAGGCACTTTGGGTTCCCATTTGGGAGAAAGATGGGGTCTAAATGAAGTATGGAAATATATCGCTAAATACATTTGGCTACTACATGGCTTCATAGGATCAGGAAAACAACACTGAAAGCAATATTGGTACATTGCTTGATCAGCTCCATAGTGAACGGAGAGGAAACAAAGTGCAGTTTGCCTAGGCCCCTACATTCATATGTCACCACACACTGGAGTTTGGCTTGAGGTTTCCCAAACCAGGAAGCCTTCAATTCTTCCCTGAGTGCAAGGGAAGTAGTGAAGTAGATGCAAAATGAAGTACACAAGCATGATTACAATCCGCACACCTGCCTTTCATTGACAAGACGTAGTTTGTTGTGTGATGTCTATATTTGGCCTTTGTAAAAACCAAACATTTGTAATGCTTGGAATTTTCAAAACTTTCTACTCAGGGAGATTTGTTTGTCCTCTTCTGTTGCCATCGTCTGCCAGGAGGTGAAGACTTTCTTGTTTTGTTTGGCATTCTCTCAGTGATCCCTCCATTCTAACCAATATTTTGTATGTATTTTAACTCTGTTTTTTAACTCTCTTAAAAATTGCTTTAATTATATAGGTTTGGGAGGAGGTTGATTTTAATGGTTTTATATGGTAATTTTATCATTCATGTTCTAAATTGCTACGTTGCCTTGGCGACCCTTGTAAGGGCAGGAAGGTGGAATATAAATTTTGTAAATAATAAAACAGCATTCAAAAAGTAAAGAGCCTGTTCACGATTTCACTCAAAGCATTATGAATCCCTAAATTTCTTAGATGTTATAGGTAATCTCATTTTATATTAAGTAATTCTTGGTTAAAATCAGGAAAGTATTCCCCCCCCACATACTTCTAGTATTAACAATGCATTCTGATGGCTGTATGTATTACTTTCATTGGGAAAAAGCATTTGTCTTGAGGATCAAAACCTTTCTGAATGTGTTTGATATGTTTTCTAGTTGGCACCCATATCCTTGCACTTTGATTCTGTTTTCCCACGCATTCCAGCTCTTTACAACTTCATTGCATAAAGGCACTCTGATTTAGCCAGCGATTATGCCATAATAAATAATTTAAGATGTGCTCTTATGAGCTTCACATTCTCCGATAGAGAAATCAAGTGACATCAATTGATATATTACAGCCTGCAGATGCTTACTCTACCCTATTTGAATACCATGGGAAATTCTGCTAACATCCTACTGTACAAACAGGAACTAGCCTGGATGGTATGTTCGCTCCTTTGGAAATGAACGTTCTAGCAATATAATATGATTCAAAGTTTGCTAACGGGAATAGATCAGAAGCAGTGATCTCAGAGTAAGTGGAGTAAAAGAAACATTTCATGCTCTGGGTGGTCTTAGGGTTCATCTCTCACTCAGTTTCCAGTGAGGTTGCCAGGTCCAGGTTGGGAAACGTCTGGAAATCTGGGGATGGAGACTGGGGAGGACAGGGATTTCAGTAGGGTACAATGCCATAGAGTCCATCATCCAAAACATCCATTTTCTCCCAAGGAACTGAGATGAGCTGTAATTCCAGGGAATCCCCAGGTCCCACTTGGAGGCTGGCATCCCTAGTTCCAGTGCTAGAAGAAGCAATAGTAAGCAGAGCTGGGAATACAGGACAGGGTAAATATGTGCTTCAGAAGGACAGAAAAAAGTGACCAAGTAATGTCCTGTCCTGTCTCTTCTTTCCACAAACTTAACTGGGCCTGGACAGAATATTAGCCCTTACAGATGAATGGTCCAAAATGTGTCTCCAGTTCCAAGTATCCATATATTCTTCCTTTGAGCAATATAGGTTGAACTTGGATCTCTGTTCATGTCTGTTGAATGTCTGTCTGTGCCTCTCACTTCCTTTTCGTTCATCTAAATTCTAGCAAAGGAACTTGAAGTTTCCTGGTGAATAGTCACCCTAACAATACACAAACACACTTGCTCTTTGCAGAAATCTCCAAATCCCCATTAGAGGTTTTGAGGAGAATATCAATGCCAGGAAAAAGGAAGCAAAAAAGTTCTGTTGTATGATGAAAAGCCTCCCTATGATTCTTAGGATCACAACCTATGTCGATATATGAGACCACTGACACTTCCATCGTGAAATAAGGCTCAGCTGATGTTGAAAGAATATAGTAGTATATATTTTACAGAACCAATGGTTAACTCTTTAGAATTACCTTTAGGATTCATATTT